AGTAAAGTAAGTAGTAGTGTGTGTGTGTGTGTGTGTGTGTGTGTGTGTGTGTGTGTGTGTGTGTGTAGATACACACATTTACTTGAAAACTCATACAATTTGAAAAAGAATACTTACCAAAAATCTATTGTGCCATCTTGATTTTTGTGAAGAAAATTTTCTCTAATAAATTCATAAAAAGTCATTCGAGAACCAGTGTACACTGAAAAATTCATACAATAATGCTGAAATCAATAACCTGAATTTGGTGAAAACATTGTCAATATAACAATATAAATCTTATTATTCTGAATAATTTTAACAGAATTTTTTTCCTTCTTGCAAAGATGAACACTAACAAAACTTAGGATCTGCAAAAAATGTTTCACCCAGACTATAATATGAGTTTCAGATATGAGTTTCAACCATAAAAATAGACTAACAATATGATCACCACCAGATGTTTTAATTTGATTGAAATTATATATTCTGTTATGCTAATTGTAAACATTTTCTAATATAAATCTCAAACTGTTAAGAATAGCTATAATGCTATATATTGTAATTGATACCATAAAAACAGTGCTTTTAAAGTAAAACTAAAATGAAAAAGTTAATAAATGCAGACAAGAAATTTTAAGTTTACAATTGTTTGTTATAAAACATAAAGCAACATTATGGGCTATCTATATCTATGCTGTACCCACCACAAGTATCAAAACTTGGTTTTTAGTGGTGTGAGCATGTAGTGTTACTGCTGATCATCTGTGGGGGGGCTAAGTTTAAAATACTCATTTTCTAATCTTTACAAATTCCATAATTCATACATGAAAGTTTTTAAACATTACATCACTTTCTCCTCTTCAAGTTTTAAACTATCTACAAGACATAAATTTCAATTTGGGTTCTATCAGCAAAATATGTCTGTCACAATGTGTGTTGCCCAGTGACTTATTAGGTCATCAAGATATTAATGTCACTTTTTTTAGATGAAAAAACCTGAACAACTTATATATCAAAACAAATTTATTAAAAGAAATAATCTCCATTCTTATTGATGATGCTTTTCCATCTTACAATCAGGTTGTTAATGCCCTGATTAACGAAATCACTTGGCTTT